AATGTGTCCTGGGCTCGGGGTGGGGGTGGGGGTGGGGGACCACACGGGGAGCAACATGCCACCCCTGCATTTCTATACCATTTTTAAGTGAATAGTTCAGCAGCATTAAGTGCATTCATACTGTTGTGCAATCACCACTACCATCCCTCTCCAGAACTTTTCCAGCTTCCTCAAATGAAACTTTATTCCCATTCAACACTAACTCCGCCCTCCCCAACACACCAGGCCCTGGCAGCCACCCGTCTCTTTTCTGTCTCTGTGGACTGACTCCTTAAGCAATGCCACTTTGGATGCTAAAAGAAACTGAGGAGCAGTGAGGTAGGTAGAGAGAAGGAAGAGAGGACGGTCAATAAGGGTTGCTACTTTATTCAATGCTTTCAGTTGTGCCCAAAACAACCACCAATCCTTGACATGCACTAGCTCCTTTAGGTGCTGTTCTCATCAAAGAGGCAGAACCGTGAAGAGGGGTTAAGTGGCTGCCCCGGGTCACACAGCTTCAAGGGCCGGAAGTGAGGTTTTCGCTCAGGTTAGTTTGATGTCTAAACCCAAGTGGTAACCATTACGTGTTCCCTTCTCCTCACAACCACCCTGAAAAAATAAAATTCCCCTGACTCTGTTTTCTGTCTTCCAGTCATTCTGGTTCCCAGAGTCTTTATTCATTCTTCGGAAAGAAGTTACGAAGGCATTTGGAGAGCTGGATGTGGGCTGATGAAGTGAAAATGAACATAAGGGTTCAATTCTCTGTCAACCCCTCATCCCTGGCTTTCCTGCTGCTCATCAGAAGAGCCAGGATTTCAAACCAGCTCGCCTGTCTATCCATTTCACACTTGCCTAAATGGTGAAAACAGAAAAAGGCCAGAGGAAGAGACTGGGACGTCTTGACGGCAAACACGAGGTGTCCTTGACAATGTCATTGACTTGGGCCTCATCAAAGCATTTAAAAGAATTGATGTCTGGGCCCCCTCTGTTCCTGAAAACATCCAGCAGCAAAAGGTAACCTGATCCTCCCCCTCCCCAACTAGCCTCGCTGCCACAGCCAAGTGAGCATTTCCAAACTGGAGGGCCTCTAGGGCGCCCGTGCTCCTGTCAGAAACCTTCAGTGGCTCCCAGCTACCGAGGGGATGAGGCTCCTTAATCTAAAGACTCTTCTTTCCCCAGCAACTTTCGATGCCCCTTGTAGAACTTGCTCCCTTTCTCTCTGCCCTGTTCCTGGAGAACATTACCACATCTCACCCTGTCACACGAGCACCTCTCTGTACGATCCACCTGGTCCTTCCAGCCCGGTGGACTCACTTCTCTCTGTGCCAGGGATTGGCCCTCAGTCCAGGGCAAGAGGATCTGACTTCAGGGTACACTGATGAGGTAGTAGAACAGTCTTTATCTCGGATCTCAGCTTAGCTACTTGGGAGATTTCAATCCTATGTTATGTAAACAGCGTCTCTGGGACTCGATTTCTAAACTGCAAAATGGGAATGTGGACACAATGAAAGGAGACACACTGCATATAACACTCTTAGCTCGGGGCGAACAGCCAACCCACGATGGCTGCTTTTGCCCCCTCATCGGGCATTTACCCTGAGCCAGGCTCCGTGTTAAGTGCTCCACAAACATCTTGCAGAAGCCCCACCACAATGACAAAAACCACATAAGCCCCAACGAGAAGAGGAAGGCCCGAGAGCTGAAGTGACCTTCCCAAGGTCACTCAGCCAAAGCTGGATCTCTGAGACTTAAAACTCCCTGCCTTGTCTTTTCATGAACTTCCTCAGCGTCCTGGAAAGAGCCCGGTCCACACCTGGTGACCATCCTGTCTTTCAAAATGCTCCCTAAGACTCCAAAGTGGGGGTGTGAAGGTGTGTGTGGGGGTGGGGTGGGGAGAAGATACTCTGCCTTGATTGATGAAATCTGGGCCAGTGGGCTTCGTTAGAAACTCCAGCAGATGCTGTGTGTTCCCTGCCGTGACCTCCGCGAGGCTGGCGGGTCACAGAAACCGGCTCCTGCACTGTGGGGGTGGTTTAAGAGTCTTACTTTCAACAGCAAGCTGCTTGGAAATGTCAACTTTATTCTATTTCCATTTCCTAGGACTTAAATTGTCACAGGTAAAGGAGTCTGTCTTTCAATGCTGCAATTAGAATCTCCCCAAACTAGAATAGTAAGGGAAGGTTTTAAATATGATACAGAGGCTCAAAACATTAAAAGAGCAAGGAGTCTAGATCAGCCTCACCACATTCAGTGAAAAAGAGGCCCCAAAAAGCTAAGATTTGCCCCAGGCCTGGGGCGGGGCGGCGGGGGAGCGGTCATGCTCACCCCAACTCTGCCTTCCTAGCTGATCCTACTGTCTGTCCCACCTCCTACAGAATCAAAAAGATGATGAGGAAGGGATCATAAATCATTTTTTTCCTCCTGAGTTTACAGTGTTCCTTTCTGAGGAGTTCAAAAGCACCCAGTAATAAACCAAGGTGATGAGTTTACGTCTTTTGCTTTTAAAATGAAACTTTATTTGAACTCCTGGAGAGGCATTTATGTGTTGTTGTTTTTTTTTTAATTTAGGACATTCCTCTCTTGTTCCAACTTTTCGCCTCATGGCATTTTCTGTGGGCGGGTGGGTGATGAGGGTGGGTGATGGGGGAGGGAGAGGGGTTTGTGCCCATTCTCCCTTCTATGGCTTTAACAAGTCTCAACATCCATGCAGAGAAGTCCCGCCCCCCGCCCCCACACTGACTTGGCTGTTTCTCCTTTTGTGCCTCTCTCCACTGCCCACCTCCTCGCCAGAGCCACTAAGAGCAAAGAAATCACAGAGAGGCCGTGCCGTCTGCAGGAGATCAGGCGGCCATTGAGGGCCACTTGGCCCTTGGGGGATCAGAAAAAGAAGCCACACAGTTAGCAAAGGTAATAAAGCTGAGAATAACTACACTTTTAAGAAGAAGATGAAAAAGAGAATGAGAGAGGGGGAGGGAGAAAGAGAAAGGGAGAAATTCAGATGCCTGCCTTTTCGCACCTCCTACACCAATGCAGGTTTGAAACAAACGTGAAACTGTCTTGCCCAAGCCTTTTTGCTAATGGTTTTACTCAGGTGTTAAGCCAAATTTCAGTAACTAACCACATGTAAATACCGCCTGGCCACCGTACAACCTTTCTAAACAGAAACACCGTGTCTGTGTGGGGTGAGGGAGGCCTGCTGCTTGTAAGCAGGTAGAACCGCACGCTTCGCTTCTGGGTCCCTGCGTTCAATAAATATTTGGTGGATGAATAAACCCAAGAAGTACTTAATGATTCGATATACATCTGGGTTTTTATTCCCTCTGGCTTCGCGGGCCAGCGGGCCAAACCTTACAAAACTCTCCAAGTAAAATCACTACAGGGCTGCTCTAGGTACAGGAGGAAACAATGGGAGAAGAAGGGGGTGTCCCTGGGAGTCCAGTTCCAACCCATTTACAGACACAACTAACACGAAGGTGGAGTCCCACCAAACTGGGGCAAAGAAAATTACGACAAGCTGCCGAGACCCGCATAGGAGCAGCTCAAGTAGAGGAGAAAATATTCTATTCGGAGCACACTGCCTACAAGGGAAGCACTGTTCCTGCAGCCTTTGGAAGTAGCTGGCATTCCTCCTAGGAAAACATTAAAATATTCTCAAGGGGGGGGTGGGGGGGGTCACTGTGCTCCTAGCATCATTAAGCAGTTCTGGCCAACTATGTAAACGGCCACCTAAAACACCTCAATTCAACTTTGTGAGCTACAAACCAAACAGATAATTCTTGTGCCCCTGCTTGTTTGTTTTTCCCTATAAAGGGGCAAAAGAACTTGACAAGTGCTAACGCACTACTTAGAAGAGAGGTGGGAGGCAAAGATCACAGATGGGACCCAGGAGACATTCCAGAAGAAATTGGTTGGGATATCTTTAAGGCAGGGAAAGGCGCCCTCCCACGTATCCTGCATGGGTATGGAAGCCATCTCTTCTGCCTGGATCTCCCAAG